TGCACATACTGCACGAGAAGATCTTACCGAATTTTGCATATCTGTCATGTTTTTGTACTGTCCACGATATTTGCATCATCCTACTTCTAGTGACATACAAAAGTTATATGCTCATCATGAGAATGTGCATGGTTTACCTGGGATGTTATTGCATGCATTGGAAATAGAGTATGTGTCCTAATGCATATCGTGGACAATACACTAAGGGCAATTATCATTATCCTATGGTCATGCTTGAAGCAGTAGCCTCATAGGATTTGTGGATCCGACATGCCTTTTTCGGTAGTTCCGTTTCGCTTAATGATATTAGATTCTCAATAAATCACCAATATTTAACAAGGTATATGATGCTACTACCCCAGATTCGCTATTTGTACTTTGAGGAATGAAATACAAATTTGGGTACTATATTGTGGATGAGATCTATCAAGAACTTTATGGTTTTGTTAAAAGTTTGTCATGTCTGGATGACCCTCATAGGTCAAGATTTAAGAGAGTCAAAGAAAAAGCAAGAAAAGATATTGAGCGAGCGTTTGGAGCACTTAAAAAGCGTTGGCAGATAATTGCCAAAGCATCCATGTTTCGTTATATTTCTACTATGATAGAGGTGATGTATATGTGTATCATATTGCAGAATATGATACTCTCACATGAAGGAAATTTCATAGGTGTGTGTGACAAGAATGAAGTCATTCCACATACACAACCACTAGAATATATTGGTTAAGAATGGCTACAAAGAATAAGGAAAATCAACAGTGCAGTAATCTATCGCGATTTTCGCCACCATTTGACCGATTATCTTTGGACGATGGACAATCTTCATCTAAATATATCACCAGAAGACGAATTGGAAGGCCAACTTTTGGAGGAAGACCTATTGCTTTAGTGTTTTTTATGAAGTGTGATTTAGTTATGAAGTGTGTTTTTTATGTATTATGTCGTGTCTGTAGGTATTAAGTCGAGTCTATCAGTGTTAATTCATGTTTGTCGTGATTTGACTTATTAAATCGTCTTTCTAGGTATTAAGTTGTGTCTGTCAGTGTTAAGTCATATTTGTGTTTTAAAAAATATAATTTATATTATATTAATTTTTTGTGGTTTAAAAAAGTAAACTTTGTTCACTATTTGTGCACAAAAAATGTTTGTGTATTAAAATAAAGTAATTTAGTTAAATTATAAAAAGAAAATAAAAAAACGGAGTGCTAGGAGTGTTACCACTCCTTTCCAAATACTAAGATGAGGTGTTAAATGGAGAAAAATGAGGTGACACTCAAAAAACTGACGTGACAAGGTGTTAAGAGTGTTAACACTCCTTCCATCCTAAGAGTATTAGATCGGGTGGGAAGAAGAGAGGAGCATTGACTTAAGAGTAGTGAAGTTGCAACCCATGAACCTAAAGTATGGTTGATGTCCACCAAGTGTTTGATCTTTTTTATTAATGATCTTTCCAAGCGGTACCTTGTAGTTCTTAGTTATGTTCATTGATTTTCAGCAATTTGGCATTTAAATTTCTCCAACCAATCGGTTAAATCCCTAAATCAAAACCGGATCAAAGTGCCAGGAGAATGACTTCATAATTCCTAATTTGGGAGAAGTGTATGTTGATAAAGATAACATTTGTCGATTACCCTGGGTGGGAGATCATTTTAAGGTGGCATTAGAGGATTTAGGTATGTCTCTTAATAGAATGGGGACAAGTCTCTCTCTCTCTCTCTCCCTGTGTATGTGTGTGTGTGTGTTTTGTTTTTATTTTTAGTGTATGTATGTATGAGTTATGTGTGTGTATTTTAATTTTCAAGAAAGAATGTTGAGTTAAATGGTAGCAGACTATGGGTTAGAGAGAGAGAGAGAGAGAGCTTCATCTTATTTTTTATTTTATTTTTAAATTACAATTTGACCAATGAAAAATTAAAATATATTAAAAGGGTATAAATTGTTTTTTTGCGTGACGGACCATCAACTAAAAGTTTTTAAACCACATGGACCATTGTTGGTGATCTAAAAAGTTAATGAGTCAACTCAATTTTTTTGGAAACCACATGCAACACTTATGAAAAAATTTCTATTAAAAATGATATAATACAAAATTAAATACATTAAAATATTTATAATTCAAAATTATTATGATTCATTGTTTATGGTCATTAATTAATTATTATGATTGTAAAACATTATGTTCCAAAAAAATTCTATTATCATTAATTATATATTTTATAATTTAAATTTATATGATTCAAACTGTTAATGTTCCAAACTTTGTTACAAACAAAAATTTGGTTTAATTGAATTTATTATGATCCAAAGATGAAATGAACCAAAATGATATTATTCCAAATGATACCATCCATAGTGTTTTAATCCAAAATTACTATGATTCTAAATTTCTTATGATTCTAAACTTTTATGACTGTTAAAGTTTAAAACTAGAAATAACCAATAGTTTAAAAAAAGTAAGAAAGAGTAAAAACATCATAAAAAAACTCAAAAAACATTAAAAACTTAAATCGAGTTTAAATACACTAAAAAATAAAAATAAACACGGAATAATAAAGCATAGACGTTCATAACATGGGATCGTATTATGAGTCTATATTTCGGTCTATGGACGAACATTGCATGCGATCATGCCACATACAAAGATTGCATTTGATGTTTGTACTTTTAACGAAGTGGGTGATAGAAAATTGTTCTTGTAGTCTTCACTTTTTTTAGTCTACACCGGATTCAATGTGTATATATATATATATAAAAGGTGCCGATTTTTCATAACAAAATTTTTCATTTTTTTTATTAAAATATATCATAGTATAATTACATTTAGCGGAAACATGTTGTGAATGCGCATGTGTACAATCAAACCTTGCCTTTCTCACGAAGTGCCTGAAAAACATTTATAATGATTAGGTAAGCGCTAGACTTAGTGAGTTCTCTAAAATACCATAGACCACAATGCTTATACATGCATACATATAATGGCTCACGCTCCGCAATTAATATGTGTACTTACGGCCTACATTCCATTTCGTCAACGCGGGTCTATGTATACTTACGACCTACATGCCATTTCGTAAACACTGGTCTATGTGTACTAACGGCCTACTTGTCATTTTGTTAACATGCAGACCTATAGGCTCCCGACTTCTTTAACCATTCTGCCACCACCTTGTAACTAATCCTTTACTTACAACAATTATACATATAGAGACTCCGGTTTAGATTTTACTAGAACATGCACAATTATACTTTCTACTCTACGAGTTGACACTTAAGCATATAGAAATTATACTACCAGCTCTACTCAACTCGTTCCCTATCCTAACATATATATATATATACACACACACACACACACACACACACACACACACATTTTAGAGTACATGGTATAACAAGATAACTCACATTGACAATGACTCAGATTGTCAGCTATCCGAGCGATTTTACTATCGATTCAATTGGTGGATAGCACAACGAACAAGTATTAACTTATTATATTTTAACCTATTAATTTCTATGACAATCTGGTAATAAAAACTAGATCTTTCACTAATCCTAATAAATACTGAAAGTTCTACAAAATAAGGATTAACCAGGCTAGATAGTTTGGAGACATGACCATTTCAGCATATAGTCTTTCTAAAATCCAACAACCATGTCACGTAACAATTCTAGACACCTCTCCCGTAAGTAGGTCAATCAACATTATAACTTAAATTAATGATAAACTTTATATATATATATATAAATATATATATATATATATATATATATATATATATATATATATATATATATATATATAACAATGACTATGAATATATAGCGATTGAAATGCTAAGAATAGTATTGAAAAAACTCAGTTTGATAACTAGGGTAAAAGTCTTGTCATAGTCAATCCCTAGTTTAACTCTAATAGTTGGCAACAAGCCATGCCTTATATTGAACATGAGTTCAATCCGCATTAAGTTTCTGCATTAAGTTTCTGCTTAAATAACCATATAGATGTTACTACATTAACACCTAGTGTCATGGGACGAATAACCACATACTATTGGAAGTAAGAGCATAATATTCCACAATGATTGCTTTAAGCCGGTGAGAATCATGTTTAACGTGTATATAAGAACAAAGAGCATAAGAGGTAAAGGAGGTGAGTAAATTGAGGCGTTGCTACTTTGGCACAAGTTGTCATATGGTAGGAAGGTTGTAGGGCGGTAATGGTCGAGTGTTAGGTAGGGTAGTTGCCTAGTAGGGTTGGGAGTAGCCTCGGTGGTTGTCGAGCCTAATGATGACCTGGGTTCGGCCGTTTGGGATGAGACCAATGGTTAGGAGTGGTGGTAGAGAAAGTATAACAAGAGAGGTGGGAAGGTTCATTAGTGTCTACTAGAAATTTGTAGGAAGATAGGTGGTTTGAGGTGACTCACTAAGTCAAAAGAGAACCATTTCATAAAAAAACAATGTGACACGATATTATGATTTTGCAGGTGGATTGGTCAAGGCATCAGAAGCGATGGTGATGGAATGTATAGCCTAGGAAGATGTAATGCGTGGTCTGGGACGTGTTTGGCAAAAGTAGCGGGTAGCATGTAGCGAATAGCTGGTAACGAATAACTTTAGTTTTTATTTGTTATATGAGTGTTTGACAAAGGTACTTGGAAGCTTTTGAAATATATAAAATTACATGAAAGGACAATTGATTAAAAATAAATAAATATATAAGTATATTTTTAAGGGTAATTATGGAAATTAATTTCAAAAGTTCAGTAACGTTTTGTTTAACACTACGTGAAGTAAGTTTTAAATTTGGAGCGTTTTGTTTAAACTAAAAGCTCAACACTCGTACTGTCAAACAGAGCTTTTGTCTAAACTATAGTGTTTTGTTAAAAACTAAAAACTAGAATTTTCCAAACACTTGCAAAAGCTTGGTGCCAAACACATCCAATATTGAAGTTGATGTATATTACAAATATACAATCAATAAAAGGATATGGGCTGGGGCCTAAAAAAGGATAGGCTAAACTAGTAGAACATTAATACGATAAAATATATATCAACCATTCTTATCCTCTACAAACATCCTCTAATGATTATAACACATATACTTCGAGGTTACATGACTTATGTGAGTATGTCGGTGTAACCTTTTAAATCCTGACCATCATGATAACTTTAATGGAAACCCTTTAAATACTCACCAGCATGATAACGATAACGGAAAGTTCATAACCAAAAATCAGTAAATCATTAAACCTGCTCATCCTTTTCTTTTGAACTATGAGGCACCAAGATCATATTTCACGTAGAAGTTTATAATAATTTAAAACAAAAAGAATAGAAGTATCATACCACTCCCCATACAATAAAGGGAAATCCTCCGCGTGCATAGAGAAGAAGAGCAAGTGCTAGCGGATGTAAGATGTAAGTTTTTCGTAGAAACCTATAAAACGGTTGTTTGTCCATCTCTTTGATAATGTTTGGGTCACCACACTACAAAAAACTAATAAATAAATAAATAACTAACTCAAAGGTAATCATATTGTGAAATTTGTAATTAGTTGTATTCATATATACCATCTTTGCAATCCTATCGGTGTCAAACAACCAATCCATGTAACTAAACCATAATCCTTTAGTCGGGGTATGTGGGTCTCTTTCTGAATCACAATATTGATGATGGTACCAATGTATGCGCACCCAATCCGTTGGGGTTCCCTTTAAATATAAAAACACGATAATGATATGTCATAAATGAAGACATATGCAACATTGGTTTGTTTGATAATTGAGGATCGAGTAAAATATGATTAAGTCAAGGTTTTTAAATAATATTATCTGAAAGAAACATACATTTGAAAGAAACCATTACCGAAGCTAAGACATTTAAATATTATATCCAACCATTACAGAAGGAGACACAACCTTTTATCAAACTCAATAAAAAAACATATCAACATCATAATTTATTCTATCAACTACAACATATTTTTTTTAAATCATTTAATGTAACAAACTTATTATATTTCTATTATTACGTATATGTTTGCTATGAAAGTATTTTAGATTAAAAAGGCTAATTAATTCACCTGAAGGGCATGAACTCCACAATAAGCGAACGTGTATTCAAGCCATTTCGGGATCTTGAAGCTTTTATGTGATAAATGTCTATGGAAGGAAAGACTAATTCCCAGAAGCCCAGTCACCATAAACAACCCAAACGCCAGCCATAAAGCTCCCCAACTGAAAGTAAATGGAGCAAAAGCACATAGCAAATGCATTCCCGCCACCACTCCGGCGGTGGTGATGTCCAAAGCATTCCATTTCCTCCTACCCGTACACACCTCTCTCGGCTGCTCTTCCACCACCTCCGATAACAGAATACTACTTCGCTCTCCATCGCTATCCGGATGCGACGCCACATTTACAATTCTCAATTCTTGTCGATAGTCGTGGGTGGTGGTTATGATGATACTAGTTTTTGATTGTAAAACCTTTCTTCGGTCGGTGTAGAGGTGCGATGGTGAACATGGTAGACGGTGACGGTGGTGAAGTTTCTGGTGGAATGCGATGGTAGGTGGTGGCCGTAACAGAGCCATTGGTATGTTATGCTCTGTCTTGTTTGCTTGGTATATAAAGGATGCGTCTCTCTTATCCCCATCTTGAATTAAATTTCTCATAGGTAAAGATGAAGACGACATCAAAGTCATGCGAATCATACCGAGAGCGACAAACACGTAACGAAAACCCATGTGGAGATTATGTCGATCATAAGGTTGTGATGGTTTATTTGCAAACGTAATTTCATCCTTAGGGTTCTCAAACGACCCATAATTATTTTGTTTAGCTTTTGTTCTTGTAGTGTTAATTAATGGTCTTCTCTTGCCGAGTAGTGTTGATGAACACCAACTGTTTGTAGAAATGTCTACAAAAGTTGTTGTTTAGCTCTCTAGAATTTAATACCAGGGAAAATGACATTGCAGACAACAAAGTTTTTGCTTTGTCCTGGATTAGTCATTGAAGTTAATTTTTTGCACAATTAGTCATTAAAGTTACATTTTACCTGTTAAACAAGACTTCGACCCTAATACATGCCAGTTTGTATGTTACCATGCTTAGTTGTCACCGGTGACATGGTGGTAATAAGCCACACCATTGCCACCTAAAGGTTTGGGTTTAAATGTTAAAAGTTTAAAAAAAAAGTATATTATTGTTGCTGATATTCGTTTCCTCCACTGTGACATGGAGACAATAGGCCTGTAACACCGACAACAAAACCCCATGACCTTCCATCAATCTGGATCTGATCGGACGACTAGGATACCTTCCATCAATCTGCTAGTGACTCTTGTTGAGGCCTTGTTCGTGAATCTGAATCTCACTAACATCCTCTTCCCCCACCATCTAGGCATCGACAACATCAACTACATATACCTCGCAAAACTTAAATGTTCTCTTTCTCATCCCTCCGTTGTTTCGTTGATAAGAGAGAGCTTGCAAGCTCTACCAAGGAAGGAAGATCGATGATATAACAAAGATTCTAGAGATTTTGGATCTTCCATTTTTATCGACACTATGTGTGTGTGTTTGTTGGAGTCGTTGAAATGGTTGTGTCTGTTGACCGATTTTAATCCCGATGTAGACCTTCATGTCTTCCAGCAATGTGGCCATGCAAATGCTTCATGGATTTGACAACTCTGGTGAAGAGGTGAAGCAAGTGATGACTAAACTCAACACGAAGACCAAGAAAACATTGGATTCTATAAAGAAAACACCGAAGACTAATAAGACAGAGCAATCAATGAGCTCCATCAAGCATTTGAACTCTATAATTTGGACAAGAACATGTTGATCCCGTCAACTGAGTTGCATCATATCTTGAGTTAGTTGGGGGAGAAATCATTGCTCACAACCAGGCTAGATTTCTTTTCTCTCCGGATTCAAAATTTTAATTCTTGATATCATCGTTTGAATGATTATCACTTGCAATCATGGGTGATTAGAGCATTTCATGTCTCCTTTTCTTATTGTAGAATCATTATGCACTTTTTAATTAATCTAAATCCATCTACAGAGGCAAAGTAAAAAAAAAACATTAAATTGATGTGCATATTATCTGTAACATCCATAAAAATCACAAGAAATTTAAACTTTTAAAATCAACCTGTTAGGGCCAAGATCCTCAAAATATTTAGGATCCTCAAATATCTAGGATCCTTAGCTATCTCAGGATTCCGACTATTACCGTTATTATTTTTATTAACATTTATAACAGTTATATTTTGTTCATAACTAATACATGTGTAGAAGTAGTCAAGGGAAGACCAATTCTCAACAAAGAATCATCTCAACTATGCTAAAGACTCGGAATACTTAGTCAAATAACGTTCGTGACGCTGGTCATACAGGATCCCAAAAATATTGGACATCTTGTTGACTAGTTTAGATTATAAATTCACACTTGTATCTCGCACACAAGACACTACTTTTTACTATGAGCTTACTCTACGAATTTATTCACTTGTTCTTACTAAAATTCTCTGTAATTATCATTTTATATTAATAAAATCGTCAATGAAGGTGATCATAATCACCTCCCAATGTTTTGTGTCGGACATCAGAGCTTCTCATTCAATTTGGTTGATTACTACTTGTGTAATTTTTGACCAAAACAATTTGGCGCCTACCATGGGTCCGTGGTGTTCAAAATCCTCAAAAAAATCATGTCTACACAACTAATCCTTTCTTCGTCCTCAGCACCTTTCATTCCAACCAAAAACCTACCGCCTCCTCCGAGTGGACCCCTGGTCAAAAGAAAACACCTGAAACTTCCAAGAAAAACCCCCTTCCGGTCACCAACCAAGGAAGTTTGGGATCTTCGGGACTCCAGGATCCGACTGCCTCGGTCACTACTGCATAAGTCTTCGCTATGATGAGGATAATGACGCAACAAGTGACCCAACAACAGGAGGAGAATAGAGCATTGCCTAGAGAAGTGGAGAAGATGAAGGCGAAATTTCAAAAATCCTAGGAAACAACGCCCATAGTCGTACAATCAATGATACTGAACTTCGATAATGCAGGATCCTCAGAAAGTCACCAGAAGAACACGGTTCCTACCACTGTGGCGTCACCCTGGGCGACAGCTATGGGCAACCGAGCATCTATGATCAATGATCTCAATGAGCCTTTCAATACTCCTAGAAACATTGATTCTAGTAACTTATTAAACAATAAGACTATTAATACTAACTATACTAATATTGATATAGGACTGGCTAGGGAACTTCAACAGTTGATACAAATGATCTCAAGCGTACCCAGGGTGGTCCAACCCATACAAGAAGCATCTCCAACAGGTCATAAGTTCTCGAGATTTTCTCTTGCGATAGCCGATACCGAAGTTCCTAAGTGCTTTCAAACTCCTAGCATGAAGATTTATGGTGGAACTACAGATCTTGAAGAACACATAGCACAATACCAAGAAAGGATGAAGATCATTCCCATCCCAGGGCACTTGAAGGAAGCTTGCCTATGCAAAGGCTTCGGTTCAACCCTTACAGTATCAGCTCTCAAATGGCTGCTAAACGTCCCCCCATACTCTATTACTTCATTTACACACTTAGTCAATATTTTCAATAACCAGTTTTCTTGCAGCAGAACCTTCGAGAAGATCACTAGTGATATCTATCGAGCGGTTCAGGATCATAAGGAAAGAATTAGGGATTTCGTTAATAGGTTTGGTAGGGAAGCTCTGAGCATCCCCAACATCGACCTGGCTACGGATGTACATGCCTTCAAGATGGGACTAAGGAAGGATTCACCCTTCTATGAAGACCTTGTGATGACCCCATGTAAAAGATTGGACGAAGTCAGGTGCCGAGCGTTGAGGTTCATAAGGCTTGAAGAGGATAAAGAAATCTAGAAGAGAAGCAACCCTTCAAGTCAATATAAGAATCCCAACATGAAGGTCGAATCCTCGACCCCAAGATCCTACAAATCGAAGCCCTATTCCAAACCGGATCATCACATGGTCAATGCCCTCGGAGATGAGGGGGGAGAAGAGGAACTTCCTAAGATCACTGAATATTGTTTTTCTGTGGATATTTTAGTTATAATTCATGTTATGCAGGATATTGGAGACAAAGCAAGATGGCCGAAGAGGGATAACAAGTCCACCAGTTGGAAAGACAAGTCCAAATGGTGTGCTTACCACAAAGAATTTGATCACATGACGGAGGACTGTATAGCCCTAAGAAAAGAAACCAGCTACCTCCTTAGCAAGGGACACCTCAAAGAGATCCTCCGGAGAAAAAGAGAAAAATCCAAGGAGAACAGCCAGGATGGTCATAAGATCCCAGAGACACCAGGATCTCTACCCCCTAACGCTAAGATAATTAATGTTATCTCAGGCGGATCTCACATATGTGGTACTTCTTATTCTCAGGCTAAAAGACAAGCCATGGTCTATAAAATAGAAAAGGAAGATAGACTATAGAAGAATACCATGGTTAGCAGTGAAAAGGAAATCACATTTGACGAGACAGACATGGAATGGATTCAATATCCTCACCATCACGGACTCGTGATAACACTGTAGATGGCTAACCATTTCGTCAGAAGGATCCTTGTTGAAGGAGGATCCTCGGTCAATATCATACTCCTAGACGCACTAAAAAGGATGAACATCCCAGAATCAGAGATAATCAAGAGATCCTTGGTCCTCCTAGGATTTAGCGGGGAAACAAAACACACGATTGGGGAGATAAAGCTACCAATATACATAGAGGGGGTAAACTCTATACATATTTTATGTGTTATTGACACCTTATCTTCTTATAATGTGATACTAGGTAGACCATGGATCCACGAGATGAAAGTGGTTCCATCAACATATCATCAGTGTGTAAAATTTCCTACTCTGTGGGGAACAATGAAGATCATGGGAGATCAACAAGAATCGAAAGAATGTTACAAAACCTCTATGAAATCTAAGACCAAACCTCGACAAGCATAACAATTAAGGCAGAGGGCACGACATGCTCTAGAAACGAAGGAACAAGATGCGAAGGAAGTGCCCCTGGGCATCGAGGATCCTGCTAAAGTCCGTATATGATCCTCAATGTCTGAATAAATTAAGCAAGATCTGTTAAACTTCCTAAGAACCCAAAGCAAGATGTTCGCATGGAAACACGAAGATATGATAGGTATATAAAAGAGTATTATCACTTACAAACTTAATATTTACCCTTCTTTTAGACCAGTACACCAAAAACGAAGGAAGATTGCACCTGAAAGGAATCATATCATCCAAGAAGAAGTAGAGAAGCTCCTCAAGATAGGAATGATCAAGGAAGTGAACTTCCCAAGATGGCTAGCTAACGTGGTTTTCGTACAAAAGAAAAGCGAAAAAAGGGTGAGTATGTGTAAACTACATAGATCATAACAAATCTTGTCCTAAGGATCCTTTCCATTTACCACATATTGACTCTATGATAGATGCAACGGCTGGCAACGAACTCTTAACCTTCATGGATGATTCAGTAGAATTGCAACAAATCCATATGGAACCATCTAATCAAAAAGATACAATGTTTATAACACCAACATGTATATATTATTACGCTGCAATGCCTTTTGGTCTTAAAAATGCAGTTGCGACATATCAAAGATTGGTGAATCGGATGTTTAAAGACAAGTTGGGGGACAACATGGAAGTTTATATAGACGACATGGTGGTGAAGTCAATGAA